CAGAAGCTTTATCTGCTAATATTTTTGTCACGAAAATCCTTTCATAAAATAGTTTCCTCTGTTTATTACACATCWGAAACATTCAAAAATCTCCACTTTGGAAAATGTTTTTAAAATGATCTGTTTCTTCAAAGTCTGAGTGTGAAGTCTGTTTTTAAAACCGTTAGATTGCCACAATGCTAGTGAAATAGATGTGATCTATATGGAAACTAGAATGGGTGTATTTTCCCCTTGTTGACCCTGTAGTGGTCCCTAATGTGCTCTTTTGATCCACCATAATGGATTTTTTTTCCTCCTCAATGCAATTAGCTTCTCTCACTTCATACCAACTTTTCTTTATATCCTGAAATCTCACATATTGAAGTCAAGTCCAGATTCTTCTCTGGATGGTCTCACATTGTGAACCTGTCCCATCTGCTGCAGCACCAGAGACAGTGCTGGCTCTAGACATTTTGGTGCCCTAGGCGAGTTGAAGCGCAACCCCCCTCCCCCCAATTTAAACCCCTAAAAACAAGTTTGACAGTGAAAGGTACTATGGTAAACTTAGATCTCCCAGAAAGCAAATAAATAACAACATACATGTCAACTTGTATGGATTGTCTCTAAGTTATAAGGATTTTACGTCATTTTGCAGGTATACGGACGTATAGGGCAATCTCATGGATTTTTTTCTCTCTCACAGAGAGAGAGGGTGGGGGCAATTGCTGCATTGGGGGAGAGAAATGTTTTATGGGTAGAGTAGTTTATTTTTCCTGTAATACTTCATTATAGTTTTTTGAGACAAAGCTAATTGAAAGGGGCGCTGAGCAGAGTTACAACCAGGGATTACAAATAATTACTTTTTTCTTCTGCAGTTCAGCAACCCCTCCAGCAGATGGCGCTCTAGGCGACCGCCTAGTTCGCCCATGCCAAGAGCCGGCTCTGACCAGATACTGAGATCATTGCCAAGGAGGAGAACAGAAGATGGAGGAGAAACAGAAATCACAAGTGCTGACATCTTAAATTCAGGTCAACACATCACTGAAGCTCTGTTTGATATTGACAACTATTATTTAAATCTGATGGAAATGCTTTTCAGTACATTTTATCATTTCAGGCAAAAATGTTGCCAAGGTACACACATCTGCAATGAATGTTTCTAATAGGTAGAAAGTAACCAATGACAAATACTCATATCAGATATTCAACCCTGTTCCTCATGACCCACTCACTGTCCTGCATGTTTTAGCCATTTCCCTGTTTCAGCACAGCTAATTCAAAAMAATTAAAGTTATACACTCAGAATGTCATCAAGTTCAGCAGAACTCTGTCAATCACTCTTTTGTTGCTGTCAGGTGTTCAAAATGAATATTAATGAAACTGAATAAAAATTAAATGCAGTTGAATTTGTCATTATTATTTTTAAAACGGACAGGTAATAAATGCCAATTTTCTGCACATTAGATTTTCCAAGAAACAGAGAAAATTTGAACTGTACAAAATGGGTCAAACATTGTTCACGTCTGGATAACTTCCATCGGAAATGCATTAGCAATCCATAAAAAAAAAAGGAAATGCATTAGCAAAACCTATATGTGGCTAGACCGCTTATAAATGTATCTCTTGGGAGAAAACTTATTTTTACATACCACAACATCTGCAATTTTCTCAGCTTTAATTTAAGACATATTTTACAGAAATTGGAAAAGAAAAAAGGGAACTACGAGTATTTTTGTGACAGATTGATGCGCATCTATCATTGTATGATTTTGTTGACATGACTCTGTGCATAGTACTGGTGTCTATAGAGGCTCGTCACTAGCAATAGCAGCTAATAGGCAATGTCCCATTCATTTTGTGGCGTGACACCTCACAGCTACAGAGAAAGTGTAGCTCTTGTTGTAGTTCAAGACTTCACCACCAGATGGCGATTTTGAAGAACCTTTATTAGATATTTCATGAACAACACAAAGTGAAACTCACAGGTCTTATTAATGACTACCATTATGGTTCTGCTGAATRGTTTAACACAAGTTAACAAACAATGAACACACAAATTAAAGTAACACAACAAACTAATAACTGAAAGAACAATGTTAACCAATTCCCTAAAATGATTCAACAACAACAAACATGAATCCTACCCACAATCCTCCATTGCAGTCACATGACAAACAGCCAAACACAGCAGAATGCTACAATATCAATGAGTGTAGCTGGCGTTTACACTGTATTCACATCATATAGAGTATACTTTTCTGAAAAAGAAAACATTTCCAGGGTTTAATTTGCTGTGAGAAAATGAGAAGACAATTTGTGCTTTTCATGCGGAGCACGAGCACACACTCAT